TGAGGGGAAAAAAAAAGAGGGAGAAAGAGACAAAAGAAGAGAAGAGAGGGAGATGGAGGAGGGGAGCAGAGAGTGAGAAAAAAGAAGATTGAAAAGAACACGATAAAAAAAAGAGAAGGAGCAGAGGAGAAAGAGATCTGAGTTTAAAGAGCCGGAAAGAGAGAGCGACGATAAGGAAAAAGAGATAAGAAGCAAGAAGAGAGAGAGGAGAGACGGAGGAAAAAAAAATCGGTTAAAAAGGGAAAGAAACCAGTGAAAAAATAATCATAAGGAAAGTTAACGACCACCATTAATATAGAGACTTAGCGAAAAAAAAAATGTAAGAAAAATTGGAGTAATAAATGATCATATCGTGTCGTTCTTATTTATCTATCTATCTTCTGTAATGATTTATCTAACTATTTATCGATTTACAATAATGTTTTATGTAATATGTATCACGTCATTTCTTTTTGTAACTATTCCATTATCCCTTTCAATGCATAGAAAAAAGAGATTAAGAAAAAGAAGAAATAAAAAAAATATATATTATGTATATCACAACCTCAAAGATCAAAAAGTACACACATGGAACACACAAGTACAAGAATAACTAAAAAGAGACATCATTAAAGTTATTAAAATGAGAAAACTTAACAATAGCACGGTAACAAGTTTTTTTTCGATTTTCTTTTCTTTTCTTTGTTTCTTTCTTTATTTTTTTTCTTTTTTTTTTTTTTTTTTTTTTTTTTTTTTTTTTTTTTTTTTTTTATGCTATTTTTTTCTTTTTTTGATTGGTGACATCTCTTCGCAGAGAAAGAAAGGGAAAAAGCAAATATTATGGATGAAAAAAAAGGAGACAACTAAGTAACAGAGCATAATTAAAAGCATAATGTTCCAAGAAGAAAACGCAATCATCAAACAAACCCAAAAGAGATAAACAATGTGTGGAGCGACAAGGCAGGAAGAGAGAAAAATCAAAGGATGGAGAAGGACCAGATTGAGAGAATGGCCAACCCGCTCGGCTGAATGAGCGTTGGGGGGCCGAACAGATTAGAGCCTGCGGACAAACTCGCGAGGTCGCCGCGACTTATTTGCGTAGCGACAGCAAGGGGCCTCTCTCCGCTATAACGGGACTGCGCAGTGCACTCCTCTAGCGTCTCCGGCAATCGACCAGCATGGAGAAGACTAGAAGAGACTGAAGAGCAAGCAAGACAGGAAAGAGAAGAAAGTATGAAGAGGTGGAAAGAGAGGGCAGAAGAAGAGACGAGATGGAGAAGGAGAGCGAGGACGGGAGACATTTTGAGGGAGTGACGCGTGAGAACCATTCTCGCCTGAATATGCTACAATCATTGCCAAAGGTAAACCGAGTTACGCCCATGCTCACGGACTATACGCCAAGCCAGGATCACCATTAGGTTTTGAGGTACCCCTACTTCTGCTACAGAAATGGAGAGAAGAGAGAGAGAGAGATGAGAGAGAGAGAAGCAGAGATGAGAGGATCGAAGGACGGAGCCCGAGCGGACGAGTGACACCGACGAGGGCGAAGATGAGAGAGGAAGAGAGAGACGAGACAGGAGGAGAGAGAAGGTGAGAGAAGAGAGATGTCAGAGCGATTGACATGGATGGACTAGAGCAGGAGAGTCTGTGGGAAATGAGGGAGAGCATCGCAGAGAGAGAGAGAGAGAGAGCACGAGAGAGAGAGAGAGAGGAGAGGGAGAGGGAGCAAGAGATGAGAAGTGAGGGAAGAGAGAGAGAGGAGAAGGAGGACGTATGACGGGAGATAGAGAGAGTAGGAAGAGAGGAGAGGTTCGCGAGAACTAAGTGAGGAGAGAGAGAGAGAGGGGAGAGAAGAGAGATGAGAGAAGCGTTGACAAGGAGAGTCGAGAGAGAAGGAGAGAGAGAGAGGAGAAGAGAGAGATGAGAGAGAGAGAACGAGAGAAGGGACGAGAGAGAGAGAGATGAGACGAGAGAGAGAGAGATGAGAAGAGAGAGACGATGAGAGAGAAGATGAGGAGGACGATAGAAGACGAGAGGGAAGATAACGATTATATGAGACGAGGAGAGAGGGACGACAGACAGACAGAGCAGAGACAGAAACAGAGAGATAGAGAATAGATAGAGAGAGAATCGAGAGAAAGAGAGAAAGAGAACACAGAGGGAGGGAGATTCAAGATACAAAACGAAGCGGAAAAAAATTAATAGCAATAAATAGCGTTGAGAAATGACAATAACGATAAATGTTGTGATAATGATGATCATGATAGTAATGATAATGAAAAACTAAATAAATGATAATTGAATAATAAATAATACATATAATAATAATAATATAAATAATAATAGATATACATATATAATAATAATATACATAATGAATGACAATGAATAATACCGGGATAGCATAATTGCAGTGAAGTAGAATTGGAAGTAATTATTATAGATGAGAATTAGATTATATATAATATGATAGTAGATAATACTGAAATACTACATACTAATAGATGAGTAATGTAATAATAATAACCAATTAATCCATGATAAGAGATGATAACAATGAAGTACAACAGATATAATAAATCGGCGATAATTGAATGAATTATAAAGATAAAAAAATAGAAAATTAACAACAGAAATAAATGACAAAACAAAAAGATGATAATAATGATAAAGAATGATGATGATGAATGATCGAATGATAATAATAATACTATAATAATAATAATATGAATAATAATAAATATGATAATACATAATGATATATCAATAATAATAATAATAATAATAATAATAATAATAATAATAATGATAATATCGTATAATAATAATAATAATAATCAATAATAATTAATAATAGATAAGTGGAAGAAAAGAAAAAAGGAGAAATCCGAAAAAGTAAACTACAGAAGAAAAAGTGAGATCAGAAAAATGAAAGAAATAATAAGGAGAAAATAAAAAGAAAATGTGGAGCAGAGAGGAAGGAGAGGAGAAGAAATCAATAGGAAGAGGAGGAAAAAGAAGAAGAAGGAAGAGCGAAACGGAGCAAAGAAGAAGAAGGAAGAAATATGAGGAATCAAGAAGAAAGGAGAGAAAGGAAGAGGAGGCGCCGCCCCCCCCACCCTCTGACCACAAGCAACGGGTTCACGGCCAACGAACGTCGAGCGGGGAACGGGTTTGACACTCTCTTTGCCCCGAAGAAGGATTTCCTGTTTGCACAAGAAACCCCTGTAGATGACCTTGGCCACATTTTCTACCTTGTCTGTTTTCTTTCTTTCTTTCTGCTTGCTTTTCTTCTTCTTATCTTTCATTTGTCTTGTCTCTTCTTTTTTTTTCTTTCTGTTTTCTTCTTCTTCTTCTTCTTCTTTTTCTCTTCTTTTTCTTCTTCTCTTTTTTCCTCTTTTCTTCTTTTCTCTTTTTCTTCTTTCTTTCTCTTCAGTTTCTTTTTTTTCTTTTCTTCTTTTTCTTTTCTTACTTCTTTGTTCCTTTCTTACAATCTCTGAATTTCTTATTTTTTTATTCTCTTTGTGTTTATGTATGTTATTTTCTCTTCCTTCACTTTCTTTTTTTGAGTTATTTTTTCCTGTTTTTCCTTCCTTCTCTTTTTCTTGTTTTTTTGTTTTTTTTGCTCTTTGTTATTTCTTTTCGTTCATTATTACTCATCCCCCTCTCCCCATTCTCTCCCCTCAATTCTGCCTCTCCCCTTCTTCCGCCTCATCCCCTTTCCCCCCCCCTCTCCCCCTCCTCTCCCTCATTCCCCTTTCCCCTCCCCTATTCCCCTCTTCTCCCCCCCTCTTCCTATCCCTTTTTCCCCTCCTCTCTCTCCTCTACTCCCCTCATCCACCTCTTCCCCGTCATCCCCTTCTCCCCTCTTCCCCCTCATCCCTTTTTCCCCTTGCCCCTTAAACGCCCAAGGCAAAAGAGTATGGCACGTGTCCCATCCACTCTCTATTTCGGGCAAAAGGGTTAAAAGAAGCAGAGCAAATGATTCTAATAGCATTATACACTGTTGTAATTTTAATCTCAATAAACTTTGTGTGTACTCTTGTGTGTGTGTGTGTGTATGTGTGCTGTGTTGTGTGTTGTGCGGTTGTGTTGTTTTCTCATGTGTGTTCGCTGTGTTTGCGGTTCACGATCTTGTGTTGTGTTTTGTCCTGTAGCGCCGGATGTTGTTGTGTTTGTCTTGTGCCTCCTGCTGTGTGTGTGCGTGTGTTCTCTGTTGTGTGTTGCGTGTGGTATTTGTGTGTGTGTCGACTCATCGTGTGTTGTGTTTTGTATGTGTGTGTTTCTGTGAGTGTGTCATCTCCTCTCCTGCTCGAACCGCATCGTACCCACGTTCGCTCTACTGTTGTTTTGGTGTCGTGTTTGTTGTATGTGTAATGATTATAAGACTCTCAACTCCAAAGTGTGTGATTTCTGTGTTTTTATGTTGCG